GCTGGAAGATGGTGGCCGCGGCGGCGGCGGCCTCGCCGCAAAGGAAGCATGTTTCGTGGTCCCGTGATCGCCTGGGGCGGCGGGGGCTGCCTGAACGCCGCCGCTCCTTCTCCTTTGCAGCGGCTGGATGTCCTGCGCTGGGGAAGGCTGACTTCGGTGGCCATCAGAGCTGCGCCCGCCGCTCAAAGAAACCGCCTGTCTCTGGGTGAAGGTTCCTGCAGGAGAAGGTGCTCTGGGGGTACCCCAGAGGTCGGGACCAAGTGGATCAAGCCCAGCGGCCAAGAGACCGGGATCCAGATCTACAACAGCCTGAGCAGAAGCAAAGAGCCCCTTATCCTGGGAAACGCCAGTGTGGTGACTTGGTAGAATAATTAGAAAATTGTCAGTTTATCCTGGGCTGCTGCTAAATTTTCTGTTCCTTTTTTCTTCTTCTTTGGCAGGATTGCTGCGCTTATAGAAGCAATAAAATAAGTCATTTGGGGGGGTGATGGAGATGTAGTAAAGCAAGTTTTGGGGAGGCAGTGGGGGGAGCCTCCTCACCTGTTGAAGTTTTCCTTGACATACAGCTTGTAAAACCACAGGCCTTTGTCAATGGGAAGGAAAAGCAGTACAGTAGTACAGAATCAGGCTAGTCAAGTTGTTTAAAAAACAGTGAGAACACCTTATTTTTTCCCCCCTTTTTAAAAAATTGGAAGTCAGTTAATTGAACTGAATGGGGTTCATATTGAGGATTGCAGCCTAGGTGCTAAAGTGGCAAGATAGAGTTTTGCTTTGTAGAGTTTGGGAAATCGTCTGCCTCAAGGCATTAGTGGCATTCTGAACTTGACCTTGCAGTGAAAGAGGCACATCTGCCTTCCAAATAAAAAATAACCTTGTCAGATTATGCTCAGGCAGATTGAAGGCTGAGGTGAAGGTAGACCTGGGATGTTAGCAGAGGCTGAGGAGCCACGGGTGAAGAAATTCACATGCCAGCTTCTGTTAGGGTGGGTGTACCATATCTGGCCTGTGAGATTAGGGACAGCAACTGAATGGCAGGAAAGAATTAGAGTTTTTTGTATCTCTCTTGCCATGCAGTAGTCTTCTGGAGTTTTGCTTGGATATGGTAGGCCTGCCTTAGAGCATCCTAAAGCAGAAACAGAAAAGCAGGAAATGCAAAGATAACCTTTGCTGATGGACGCATTGGCCTAAAAGTAAAGATTTAACTCCTGATCGCTTTGTAGACATGCTAATATAGTTTACTCAACAGAGCAATAGGTTTATCATTGCCTTTATCCAGGGACCTCTTCCTCCTCTTCTACTTTGTCAGCTAAGGTTGACTTGGTGGTACTACCTAACTGGGTTGTATTGGTCTGCAGTTCTCATAATTACTCTTTTTACCCCCCTCCCCATGATGTTGATTGAGAATTATCTGGAGATTTCAAGTTGTGGAAGGCTGCTTTAGACAAAGAAATAGGTAAAATGAAATCCAAACTCTTTTGAGTCCTTCTGGAAGTTCCTTATGTTTGCACAGTGAAGAGGATGTTTTGTGTTCCTGCTGAGCTTGAAGCAGGCTCCCGGTGTAGAGGTGATAGTCATTGCAGGTTGTTATTCTGCCTTTATACCCTCTTCTTTGCTACATTGCATGTTTTAAGTTTGGGCCTAATTAAGATGGCAACCTTTGAGCAAGTTTAATGGGGATAATCAGATAATATTCTCAAAATACATTTCCCTAGTAAGATCACTATAGAAACATAACCAGATACTTTCGTCCCCCATGGTCAGTCAGTGTGGCTGATGCCGGACTTTTAAAAACTTTTCACTTATGTGACTTTTCTTCCCAAATCTCTGATTTTTGTTACTTAGCTTTAATTTTATTCACAGGTACAGCTGTGGACCTACTGTATATGATCATGCACACCTTGGGCATGCTTAGTAAGTGAGTTTTAATTATTTTTACTGAAATTTGTGCCTCACAGACTTCTCTGGATATCGAATAGACTTTAGTTATCAGCAGTGGCATCCACAGCAAATTGTGGCAATGCCAAAATGCTGACATGTGCGTGGTGCATGGAGATGCCATTACAGCCTTGTTTTGTAACATCTGGTTCAAGTATATAAGTTGCAGCCTTTGTGTGACAATGTTGTCATTTGTTCCTCTTGATCTCCCCATAAATGCCCATTTTATCAGATACATTAGCATTGATTAGCTCTCTTTCAACACAAACCAAAAGTTAGCTGAGTTGCTTGAAAATTGACCATGATGTTGTGTTTATTCATGAATGAACGTCTCATTAGGTTCAGTAGGGTTTAGTCTCAGGAAACTATGTAGATAATTGCCGTTCAAGGACATCTAAATGGATGAAGATGAGATGTGGTAGGGCAGATGGCTAATCTGTCTGACCAGGGATGTCTGCAGAGGGAGTCAAAAAAGCCAACATGGTGTCCATGACACATGTCAAAGCCCTGCCCCCTTTTTATGTTTGTTGTGATGCTGCCTTGACTTTTCTAACACGCCCTGTCCCCATGGACACCTCTGCATCTGACTTGGAGAAAAGTATTTTTCAAGATATAATATCTGGTGGGTTGCCTTACTCTGGTTGAAATGTTAGGTGGGACATTTTATTAACTCCAGCATTCCTACTTTTTAGCCAGGGATGAGGTGGTTAGAGCAAGCACAGAGTCATTGGGACTGTCTTCTCTAAGTAGAATCTGCTAGCCCTACCTATATGCTCCAGTTGGGAAGAGAAATTGGAGGGGTGGCACCCAGAGAATGGGAGCCCCTCATTTTGGAACAACTTGTCCTCCTGAGGTCAGGCTAGCTTCTACACTTTTATCCTTTCAGAAGTAGGGTAAATCTGTTTTGAACATTTTTGTTATCTAACTGCAAAATGCAACTTTGAATGCAACCTGGGATTCTCCTATTTGCAGTGTGATACATTTTTGACCTATTTATTGTTGTGAGACATTTCCAAATTGCCAAATTAAAATGCACTGAAATATCTAAGAGGACTGTGCAGGGATCCAAATTTGAAGGGGAAAAGGTGATTTTGAGCATAAGCTGGTGTGCCACATTAAACCTGCTGGCAATTACTTAAGCCAGGATTCCTTGAAAAAGCCACAATTGACTGGTTTTATATATCGTAATGGCTGAGTTTACCCAATATACATAAATCAAAGCCCAAACCATTATGATTCGGCAAAATGTATGTACTTGGATGGTGCATGCTTCAGAAAGTATTAGGAAGTACTTTAGACTTAGCATAAGCAGAACACTTCTCTGTTATTTATTAAAGGAGACTAACATTCCTTGTGAGCTTAAAAAAAGTGTCACTCCTTTAAGAATCACTTTAATGGATGGATTTCATAAAGGAGTGACTTTTTTTCAAGCTTGCATAGAAGCCTGCAAAAAGATGGGCTCCTTTAATGAATAGCAAAGAGGTGCTGCACTCTTGCTGAGTCTTGATAACTTTTTCTGAATACTTTTTGAAGTATGCATGGCTCTAGTTCATATGTACATGATGAATGGAGCTAGTCAGTTGTGGCTTTTTCAAGGAACCTTGGCTTAGTGAGATATGTGAACCAGCTTCAAATATTTAGCCTTAAATATTTGTAGAAGGTTATACTTAATAAAATATAACTTAATAAAATATATAATTTTATTTTAGGGAGCTAATAATATTAATTTATCTGATAAAGAGGCAGTATGAATGTAACAGTTTTTATTATATATTTTATTAGGCATATAAATAAAATTATAAAACATATAAATTAAGAAAGTATATTAGGCATATAAAGAAAATTATATTATGAGCAATGAGTACACTCGTTTAGCAACTATTCACAGTTATGACAGTGATGAAAAAATAACTTTGTGCCCAATCCCTGCATTTGCACCCTTCCCAGGTCTGTAAAGCAAAGGAAAGTTGCAGTAAGATCATAGGCACAGTCATGGTTTCACTTAGTGACCGCCTCGCTTAACAACCCAGTTGCCGGTCCCAATTGTGGTTGCTAAACAAGGACTACCTGTATTTTCTTCTAAGTAGAAGTTATTGCCTTGTTTCAATAGAAACGGAGCTTCAAGGAAAACTGTAAAATTGATAAACTATTTATTTATCAGCAATGTAAAATTGATAAACTAGTTATTTATCAGCAACTTAGACCTGTTTATTTAGGGCTTAATCAAAGCAAAAGACTTGTCTCACATTGCATGTTACATAAAGGTTACAATCCTGTATCTCATTATCTGCATGTTAACCCAAGTGAACACAGTGGAGCTTATTTCAGAATTTGTAGTTGCAGGATTACATTGTAAAGGAATAAAATTAGAAAGACTAAGCCATGGTTGCAACATTGTACTTAACAATAGCTGTAGTTCAAAATAGTTGAACGTTGTTTAGACATGCCCCCTATCTCTTGCGTTTTGTAGCCCATTTGCTTACAATTCCTTCCCGGGGACTAACAGTTCACACATCTGGTAAAGTTGTAGAGGGAGTAAAGAAAGTAGCTGTGGAATCTACTTGTAAATCTCTGGAGGATTTGCTGTTGATTGGCCTGATTCCCATTTGTTTAACTGTAGCAACAGTCTCCTCCCTTCCTTACCCACCAAGTCTCATCTTCATTCTGCTGAAATTAAGAAAGCACGGGTTAATGACTTTTGTGTCAAGTGGCTAAATTTTGCTCAGTGCCTAGCTTCAGAATTGTTTAATTCCAAGTGTAAGTGATTATATGCATATAACAGAGAAAGACGTGGGTTTGTTGCACTAAGCTCCATTTGATGTCTCTAATTAAAAAGCAGGCTAGATCGCAGAACCCTGAAGCCTTCCTATCCGCCTAGGCACTAGATTTTATGTCACAGTAAATCTTCTGGGGTGCCATAAAATTCTGTTGTTCTAATATTTTTTTTGGACACAGGTCTCATTCAAAGAGCTGGAAATGAGGATCAGCGTTTAAGAAACTTGTCACCACCCTAACACATTCATGATTCCCCCCCCCTGTATTTCAGTTCCTATGTAAGATTTGACATAATTCGAAGAGTAATGACAAAGATGTTTGGAAAGGAAGTAGTGATGGTGATGGGGATTACAGATATAGATGATAAAATAATTAAAAGAGCAAATGAGGTAAGCATATAAATCAGCTTACATTATACATGTTTTTTGATATTGCTTAGTATATAAAATCCATTATGAAATGTGTGCTGCTCTTGTATTGTGCTATTCATATTACATCCAGGTTAGGTAGCAAAATACGATTGATCTGTTTTGATTGATTTTTACATAAGCTGAAAATACTTGAAGCACTTGACATTCATTTGTTTATTTATTGAACATACTGATAGGCCGCTGCAATCAAAAACTACTCTTGGCGGCTCACATAAAAAGCACAACGTAAAACAAAACCCACATAAAAACGAGAACACTACAGAAGTAGAAAGTGAATAAAAGATGGCAATAACAACTCAAATCAGGGGAAAGCTCTGTGACAAAGCTGAGGCTTTTAGAAGCTTGTGGAAAACCAACAGAAAGGGAGCCAGCCTGTTCTCCACACTATCAGTGCTGCAGTAGAAAAGCAGCACCTTCGTGCCTCAGCCCTCCTGTCTATATGTTTATTACATTTCCTTTCCTCATTTCTTTTCCAAAGAAACATTCTGCTCGATTCAGAGAGCCTGTGATGGAGAGGTTTCTCTTAATTGCAGTTAAGAGATGGGGAACGGGACGCCATGGGGCACAATCTCTTCTCTTCCTTTTCAGCTGAATATTATCATGGAAGCAGAGTTAGCTGTAAAACTATCAGAATTCCCAGTTCTCGCCCTTCTGCCTTTTCAAAGGTGCTTTTCCAGATTTATTTATTTATTTATTTTGTGCCTTTGAGTCTTCAGGTCAGTGGTGACTGCCTGGACTGGTCCCTGCAGTTTTCTTGGCAAGGTTTTTCAGAAGTGGTTTGCCATTGCCTGCTTCCTAGGGCTGAGAGACAGAGACTGTCCCAAGGCCGCCCAGCTGGCTTTGTGCCTAAGGCAGGACTAGAACTCACAGTCTCCTGGTTTCCAGCCTGATGCCTTAACCACTAGACCAAACTGGCTCTCTACTTTTCCAGTATAAGGCACACATAACCTTAATGCCACAGTACCATAACATTCAAGTCAGGCTACCTGCTTCTTCTTAGGAAACAATTTAATGAGTTCTGTTGATATTGCTTATTAAACAGTTAATGTATTTTTTCCCTCTTACACAATCACATTTATCCTAATAGGTTAGCGTTAAGTGGCTTGGGTATTTCATAAGCTAAGAGTTTCTGAAACGCTGAATTCCAAAGACGAGGTTGAGAAGTGGTGTCCTTTGCAGCTCCGAAGCTTTAGGAGTACTTTAAAAAGAAAGCCCCATCAACCAGAATTGCATAAGAAGTGGGAAGCCATCATAATGATCGTGGCGAGTAGTCAGGCTTGGTTGAAGTGAGAATCCTCACTTGGAATGACCTTCTCATAGCTTGCATTGTCATAGTTGCCACATCAAATGATCTGGAGAATCCTTCCAAGTAAACGTGCAACCCCTCAAATAACTGCAGAATGAGGAGGTCAGAGCTTAATGTCAGGGGAATATTTTTCTGACTGATTTTAGATCAGCACATTTTTAGTTACAGGTAGTCCTTGAGTTACAATGGCAATTGGGACTGGGAACTCTGTCGCTAAGTGATGCAGTCGTAAAGTGTGACATCATGTGATTGCACAGCTTAGCAATGGCAATTCTGACAGTCCCCAGTCATCATCATTAAATGAATCACCATGGGTCATTAAGTGAGGATCTCACATGATCATGACTTCTGGCTTCCTGCCAGCTTCCCCATTGATTTGCTTGTGGAAAGCCGGCTGGGAATGTCAGAAATCACGATCCTGGGACCAGGGGGACACTGCGATGGCCAGAACTCCAAGGACTCATCAGAAGTCCCCCTCATTCAGCACCATTGTGAATGGTTGCTGAAGGAATGGTCATGACCCAGGGGCTACCTGTATGCATTTCAAAATTATATATGTATTATGTATGAAATTAGTAATTGTTAAATCATAAAAGTCCCATTGGAAAGGATCTAGGCCAGTGTTTCTTAAACTTTTGTCTCTCAGGACCCCTTCCCACATTTAAAAATTATGGAGGACCTCAAAAGAGCTTTTGTTTGGGTTATATTTATCAATATTTACCGTATTTAAAATTTACAGTAAAAATTAAAATTGATGCATTTGCTGCCGCTACTGCTTCTCACGGGGATTGATGGGATTTTAATATTTTATTTTCCAACATAGGCTAACAAATAATTTTTATTTTGCAGACCCCTGAGAGGGTCTTGGGGGACCCACAAGGGTCCTAGGACCACACTTCAAGAAACACTGATCTAGGCAAACTCCCTACCCCATTCAGGCATCCATTTCTACAGTTCCCCAACAGTCGGCCATCCAGCTTTGGTTTAAACACCTCAAGTGCAGGATAGGACCCCCAACCCCTCAAGGCGTCTGTGCTATTGCTGAAGAGCTCTTACCTTTGGGAAGTTGTTTCTGATGTCCAATCAAAATCTGCTTCCTCATAATTTAAGTTCATTGCTTCTTCTAAAGGTAGTAAGCATCACAAGATACTTCCCAATCCTGAGTAAAACTTATTTTTTGTCATAGTAGCTCAAGAAAGCTGCCATCTGTTTCTTCTTCATAATGTTTTAGCTGTATATTTGAAATTTAAGTCATATGAAATGATTGGTGGGTAATGTTCCCTATGCCTGCTTTCCTCCCCTCAGTAGTGTGTTAGTTCATCAGTTGGTGAGACCTCTTGGTTATATTTTGATTTTCTAGCCTCTGTCTTTGTTAGCTGTTACCCTTGATACATGATTTAATCACTTGCTGTTTCCTTACAGATGGATATCTCCCCAGAAACTCTTGCTCGTTTCTATGAGGAGGACTTTAAACAAGATATGTCTGCCTTAAAGGTATAAACGTTTAATTAATATGCTGTAATGTTGAATGTAAAACTTGTTTTTGGAAGAGCTGCTAGGGCAGTGGTGGAGAGCTCCCTTTGGCTCACGGGATGCACTAGTTGTTGAGTGGCATGTTGGGGACTGTTCCCGAAAAGTGGCAAGGACAAGATCCCAATGCAGGAACACTTCAAAAGATTATGTGTGTGTATACACAGCCATACCCTCTGTATTACCTTTGTAACAACATTTTAAAACCTTCAAGAAAAAAGGTGTAAGCCTTTGCGATGGCTGGATTGATTTGTTATTGATGAATTTGTTTTTACCCCAGTTGTAGATTACCGTATACGCATATTGTTGTTTCTTCATTTTTATAGTTTTTATGCTGGTTTAATTGTTAGCCACCCAGAGTCATGAACTTGAGATAGATGGCCATATAAATTGAGATAAGTAAGTAAGTAAATAAATAAATAAATAAATAAAATGGCTGTCCAACCTTTTGCTTGAAAACCTCCAGTGGTGGAGCCTCCATGACTCCAGGAGTCTAATAGCTCTCAGGTCAGGAAATTCCTCTTTATGTCAGGTTCCGCTCTTTCTCTAAATCTTCCAACCATCAGTTTTTGTCTTACCTTTGGGCACAGTGGAGAATGAATCCACACCCTTTTCCTTGCGACAGCCCTTCAGGCATTGCAAAACTGGCATTAATGCAGAGAGAAGCACTGCGGCAGATGAACTACCCTGGTGTGCAGTGACAGAGAAGATTGGGGGATGTGAGGAGGGGGCATCATGGGCAGAATCCAACACCTCTGCAGGGCTTATGCTGCCCTGAGGCCACACTTTGCATTCTCATGGAGTTAACTTCCTAGACAAATTTGCTTGTTCTACTCAGTTCCTACCAAATTGATGTTCTCCTTAAGAGACATTCCATTGCTCTAGTATCACTTTAATCAGCTGCTAATCATCTCTTTAATGTATAGTTATCTCTTTTTTTTAACATAGGTCCTTCCTCCCACAATTTATATGAGAGTAACTGAAAATGTTCCTCAGGTAATTTCTTTCATACAGCAACTTGTTGCTAATGGACACGGTTATGCAACGTCACAAGGTAGGACTTCCCAGTCTTACGGTAATCCCCGTGATGTGTTTACATGTTCAGCTTAGTATATTGCTTTGGAATTGGCTGGGGCATCCTTGGCCCAGCTTGATAGATAAGATGAGTGTTAGTAACGGTGCTGCATTTTTGCATTAATACTGCTTTTCTTATTGATGAGTTTGTGACGTGCATCTGTTGTTGAAAGGCCATATCAGAGGAGGCAGTGTAGGATAACAGGCTATATTGCTCAGTTAGGGCCCATCCCCAAGAACCACTACAACCTCTCCTCTGGCTTCTCTACCACTTTGTAGGTTTGTCTATCCCCCTCCCCCCTTTCCTCCTCTCTCTTGGCCAGGGCTTACTATTTCACTGGCAAAGGAACTTGGAAATAGTTGGGTGCAGAGACATAGGAAAACCATTTTTAAGAAACAGATTGACCTAACCACAGAATTGTCCTTGAACAAATAGTACTTGATTCCCATTTTTGCTTGTAGAGTATGTTTATGTTCACTGATTGTTGAGATTGAGAAATCTGCGTCCTTGGCAAGATCTCCCTCTTAGTCTGTTTTGTCCATGAATGCATTTTTGTCTCTTGGGATCTTGTATGGAGTTCCTCCTGCCTTGGTACTGGTCCATCCTGGTGGTGGAAGAAATATGGGCAGCACGGGGTGCCTGGCATCATCTCCGGGGAACTGCGTACCCAGGAGCATCACTTTGCATCTTGTATATAATGTGGGCTAGCTTGAATGGCTGCATAAAAGTAGAGGTGTTCATTGATGATTCCCTTGAGTAGGATACCACATATTTCCCACCTTTATAATAAGACCTTATAAAAGATTGTTTATTTTATTTGTTATTGTTGATTATCCCACCTTTATAATAAGACCTTATAAAAGATTGTTTATTTCCAACAGGTAATGTTTATTTTGATGTCCGTTCTAGGGGAGACAGATACGGAAAGCTAACAAATATTTATCCTGATGCCCAAGAGGAATATGGTATGTTATTGAAGGTTACTGACCTTTGTACAAGTTTACTTATTTTGTTACTATACGTATTTCTCTACTAAGATTCTAGGCAGTTTGCAAACATCATAAAATAATCTTAACATCAACTAACCCTATATAAAGCAGTAATAACATACAGCAATAATATGCAGCCTGGCTATCTTTAAAAAAAAAATGATTAAGAGTTCCCTGTACTCTTTCCTAAAACTGTAGCCTTGACCAGTTGTAAAATTATTTCCATAGCATGAGATTTCCCCACAAGTTAACTTTATAGTTAACTTGGAAGATGCATGGCTCAGGACAGACTAGACTGTATGTTTTACATTGTTTGTGTAATGAAAATTATTTATTTATCTGTAAACTGCCTGGAGTCCATAAGGATTTTGGTAGTAAATAAATTGTATCAATAAAATAAGTAGAGCCAAATTCAAAACAAGATAAAAATTGCAGCCTACCTTCATTATAAGATAATATATATTACAAATACAAATACAATACTTTAATGACCAAGTATAAAATATATACAAGGAATTTGTCTTCGGTTATATATTTTAATATATAAAAATCCCAGGAATCAGACAATCCGTTCTAAGTCACCTTCCCAAAACTTGTTCAAGTAAAGTGGTCTTCACAGCCATGAGAAGGTGCCAGGCAGCCTTCTGGTGACAAAGTGTTCCTCAACATTGAGCCCATCCCAGAGAAAGATGGTTTGTGGCTGTCTCTTCCTTGAAGCATGCATGGGATAGGCAGTCTTTACTGATGCATGATATTCTCTTTTTTTTAATAGTAATTTTATTAAAACTTACAACGACAATGATAAAAAACTAATACAAGCTAAAAAAAATAAAAGAATAGAAAGAAAAAATAGAAGGTGCAAAAAAGAAAATAGAGAAAAAGAGAAAAATAAGAATATAGTAAAGACAAAAAAAGAAACGTATAAAGAAATGACTTCCCCTCATCACAGCAAGTATAAACAATTTTAGTAACTGATCACCTTCTCTTAAAATACAACACATGATCTCTTCTCCCCATATCCCATCTCTTAACTATAGACAAATCCTTAAAACCTTGTCACTTCAGTCCTGATATCAGCAAAAGTCCATTAAAGGTTACCAGAGATAACAACATATCTGTTTTAACCTTGATCAAATAAACTAACTTTATATTCCTTTTGTTTACTTTTAATAATCTTGATCTTAAGTCCCTTCAAATAATATATCAAATGATAACTTAATTTCTCTCTCTCTCTCTCTCTCTCTCTCTCTCTCTCTCAAATTTATATGCCACCCATCTCACTGTATTGGTGACTCTAGGAGGCTTACAAGTAAAAAGAAAGCTATAAAGATCTTTACAAAAATACGTTAAGTTAAAAGATGGAAAGAGTGTCCTCAAGCCACCAACCACTCCCACTGCTGTGAATCCCCATCAGATCCCCATGCTAGATGGCAGAGCCAGGTCTTGATGCTCTTCTGGAAGGCCAGAAGAGTGGGGACCAATCTCACCTCAGGGGCACGATGTTCCACAGGGCAGAGGCAACGGCAGAAAAGGCTCTCCTCCTAGACCCCACCAGTCGAAATTCTTAAGCTGACAGGGTCTGTAACATGCCCTTCCTGCCAGACCGGGTGGGAACTGGTCACTGTAATTGGGACAAGACAGTTCCTCAGGTAACCTGGGCCCATGCCATCTTTTCATTTTTTCTTTGTCCCTTCTCACAATATTCTTCAAAGCTTTAACAAGCTTCTTTTGTAAATCCAATATAGGAAAATTACCCAGGTCACTCTCTTGGTTTGTTATTTGTATATCCCTTTTAATTATTAAGACATCAGCTGGTTTCTTTTGTATGTCCAGATATATGATACTTTCTTTAGTTAGCCACTGCTGGATCAATATCTATTCTTTTACATTTACTACAACTTGCTGTTTTCAGCATTAAAGAAGACTTGTCCCAGCAGTTGAAATGGGAAATTGGAAGAATCTCAAGAAAGATGAGGGGGTGTGAGGAGAGGTGCGTGTGTGTTTTTAATCTTGATCTCTTACAAATGAGCTTCATTCCAATGCACAGTGTTAGCTACTGCTGCTTAGCTCCAGCTAAATTGAGTAGAAATTGAAAGTTTAACGCATGGGTTGGCAGTAAAGTGCCTGCACACACACCAGATGGTGACCACTGATCTCCACTTTTCAAACCGTGTGTTTGGGATTCCTTCTGGCCATTCATCTGAGTGAGGCCCATTACTTCTACACCAAAAGTCCTGTCCTGATGGCACCACTGGATCCCTTTGAATAATTGAATTCTGAGTTTTCTCTTTAATCATGTAATCATTCCTTGTTACTGGCAGTGCTTAGTGATAAGCGTCACACGAAGGATTTTGCTCTCTGGAAGGCAGCCAAACCTCAAGAGATATGCTGGGACTCCCCCTGGGGGAAAGGGAGACCTGGCTGGCACATTGAATGCTCTACAATATCGAGGTCAGCTCATTTCCATTCCTAATCTTGCTTCTTTTCAAGAACATACTAACCAGGGCTAGCAGAGTCCCTACAGGGGTCAGGGTGGGGTGTCAATTTTTTCTATTTATATAACCATAAATTAATAGGAATTACAGTTTGGGACTATTCTAAGTGCACACTTGAAAACAGACTCATCTGAATGGTATGGTGACTAACTAATGCCAACAGCTTTTTGTCTCCTTTGCAGCCTGAAATCTAAACTTACTGCAGGGCATTGTCATACTGAATGTTGATTGATTGATTGTGACATACGCCTTTTGCTGTGTTGAAGCCAAGCTTGTAGATGGTCTCAGGACTGCAATAAAAGCACGGGAAGGTGTTGGCCGACTTTGCTATGGGTTATGAAAATGAATGCTGAGTGAAGCTTTCAGTAAAGAGTCAGTTTCATGTATTGTACCCCCTATGTCTTTGTAGTGAACCCATCACATTTGTTCAAAGTGGTGGGGGAAGGCAGTTTAGAAATTTGCTGGATCCCTTCCCAGGTCAGTTTCCTTGGGCCTGATGTCTCACGTAAGACATCTTAGAAAGGCAGAATTGTGCATTTTGCAAATAGCTGTATGCCCCCTTTTGCCTAAAAAAATCCCTCACAGCAATCATGTTTATAAGGATCAATATATTATTTGTCCTCCACAATGTAAAACAAGACATCAGAAGAATAGCTTTTCCAAGATCTGCTCAATTAGGTTAACGTGAGGTAGTAGGTGGAGAGAAAGTAGTTCCAATTCAGTTTAATGTATAATTAATGTACAATCCATTAATATTCAGTACAATTTCATCCAGATTAAAGTATGTAAAGTTGAGGATGTTAATGTAAAAGTAATATTGATGTGAACCATATGTCTTTTTACTGTATCATACATATTAGAATAATCTGGGCCTTTAGAGGTAATCTAGCTTTGCCTTTTGACAATTTGGATGCTAAGAGCAAGGCTACATGTAACTATCCAGTGGCATATTTGGATTAAACACAAAGTTGTGGAAAATCAGATCTATCACAGTCTGGAAATATTGCACCATCCAAGCAAATGGCTTAAAGAAAGTCTCTTGAAACGTGTGGAAGAATGTCACTTATTTATTCTTCCTGTAGCTATTCTTACGTCTTACGTTCTTTTCAACTCCAAATAGTATAATACAGCTGGTAATAGAGCTCAGGTTTCTCTTCATTTGGTAATAAAAAATAAAATTCCTGCATTTCTGACATCTTTTACTTGAGCCTTTTTTGGAATGGTGTCATCCTATCCTAAAATAATAGATACTTACATCTACATATTTGTTTTTCGTAGTCTGAGTATTATAATTATTATTATTTTGGTGTCTGAACAGATTTAGGTAAATTATCCCAATCATGGATAATTTAGAAAAAATATTCTAAATGTAACTGCTGAAATATCAAGCAAGCAAAAATCAATTAGCATGTTGCAAACAATTTCTGCCCTTCTACATTTTCCAGAATCGAGCTATATTTGATGAATGGGTCGTGGTTTTTAAAATATTTTTAGTAAATGGCAGCTGAATCAGATTGCCAGATTGTATGCTTGGCCAGATATACATTGATATAAATAAATTCCCAGGTTTGCTTCCAGTTTTTTATTGATTTGAAGTAGTAGTTTGGAATTAATTAATTAATTAATTAATTAATTAAAGTTTGCATAGCCGCCCATCTGAAACCAATGACTCTGGGGTGTAAATCCTGCATTGATTTATTAACATTTCCTTAATTCTAGCCAGTGTCCATTTGTTTGTCTGTTTTAATGAATGATTCTTATTTTAACAGCCTAGTGTTTGGGGGACATTTGGATATCCATACCGGTGGTATAGATCTTGCATTTCCTCATCATGAAAATGAAATTGCTCAATGTGAGGCTTATCATCAGTGTGAACAATGGGGAAATTATTTTCTACATTCTGGTAAGTTCTAGTTTCAATAAACTTATTTTTTTTATCCCTTTTATTTGAAAATCAGGATTCATGAAATTACATGGCTACGAAGGACAATCAACTTTGTGAAGAACTAATTAAATAGTTCAAGATACATAGCGACTATCTTAAAATGTGCTTATTCTGTTACCTTTCATGGCCTACAAAATGTTTTGTTGTTGAAACTGTTGAGATTGTTTATACATTGTGTTGCTCTACCATATAGAACAGTGTTTCTCAACCTTGGCAAGTTTAAGGCATTTGGACTTCAGCTCCTAGAATTCCCCAGCCAGCCATGCTGGCTGGGGAATTCTGGAAGTTGAAGTCCACACGTCTCAAACTTGCCAAGGTTGAGAAACACTGATATAGGGTATAAGTTTAGGAAGGGTTTATAGCATGAGTCACTTTAACAGCCTGGAGTATCTCCAGGCTAACCTTTCCAAGGATAAGCAGGGCTCATACATCCAATTGCGCTGGTTCACATGCAGAATCCAAGACAAAAGTTTGCTTGGACCTTGATTTCCAGAACTAAAGGAAGTTCATAAAAGTTGACTTTGCTATCCCCTTTCTTTCTGAACATTCTTCAAAATTCTTCGCATTTGGGAATTCTTCTAAATAACATCATGTAGGGACAGAGAGCTACTCAAAATATAACAGTAGCACTTTGCTTGAATGGAATTTTGTTACACAAGGCATTTCTGCTCAGTTTTAGGCCTTCTTACTACTACAGCCCCTTGTGCTGCTGGGGTGGGGGAACTCTGAAGTCCATTTTGCTCAAGAGGGACTGTAAAATTCTTTAGAATTGATGAGTTGATAGGAAAGTCATGTTCTGATGATGGATATTGAGATTTAAGCCATTATATCCAACTGTGGAAATGTTTACACAGAAATACTGCAAGTATTTGGTCATGTTTCTGCTAATATTTTCATTGTGTTTTTGTCTGCCAGAACTATAGTTTCTTGCCATTAAATGGTAAACTATATCTTCAGGCTGCCTGTGAGTCCCATGTAGGTCCTTTAATTATTCTTAGAAAAATAAAAATGGTGCTTGCACTTTGCACTGGGGAGGGAAAATGACAAAGGTAAAATTGACTAATAGAAAACACTTTGTGAAGGTAGGCTTAAACAATTCCATCCATTTGTCCTTGTGGTAAATGGTGTGTGTGATAGGCCATAGCCATTATGATAGCCGTTTTTTGAATCAAACGCCTTACCCATACTATAGCAGCCAATTTGTGGGAGCTCCCACAATATTTTCTGAAACACTCAATATATCCATGACCCTGAAATTATTGCATAACCAGATTTATAGAAGAAGATGGGTTATCATAAAAAAAAAACACCTGCCTCTGAGAATACACATACTCAGGGTAACTTTTTAAATATTTCTTGTTTAATTTGAGATTTTGGATGCAACACTTTTGGAGTAGTCCAAACTTTTAGGGCAATTGATGTCATTTGATCACTTAATGGCATCACCACACAATCAACATACATTGATGTGATGGCATACTTTCTGATTTAACAGACTCTCTTGAATGACCAATTCCTCCATTCTCTTAAAGTGTTCTGAGTTTTCCAAAGTGTAGCCATTGTGATTGGTTTACTGTTTACTGTTTACGGTTTACTGTTCTTGTAATGTTTTTAGGAAACAGCAGACTTTTTAGTGTTACAATTGCTGAAAAATTCAAAATTCTGCAAAAGAGACAGTTCTTGATGTTGGGATAAATTTATATAGTACTTTTAATTGCTTTGATATAACTCATCTGTATATTTTTATATATCACCAGGATGGAAGCTGCTACGTTTATTAATTGGATGTTTTTTAAAGTTTCTATAACTTGATGTGAATTAATTATAGCCAGTTATCAGTTTGAGAAAATAAATTGTCAGTGTTCTGTACAGAATTGGAGTTTTAGCAAACTGATTAACAGCAATGTCTTCTAGCTTTTCTTGCAAAGTTTATGAAATGTGCTGATGGATAAAACATACCCCATGTTATCAAAGGTACAATCCAGCAATCTTGAGGCAGCTGTAAGTTCTTGTGTTGTAGCCTATAAAGTAATTTGAGCCTGTTTCTATCTCGGGAAGTGCTTTATTTTTTTCCAAAAGTGGGCTAAATGATACAAAACCTTTCATGGAATTTTCTCTTAAGGAGTTATCTTCTTGGCATAAAGTATATCCTGCGATTAACCAAGTTATAGAAAATGAGACAGAGGTTTTATTATATCGCTTTATGGCAAAATTTAACTACTTAAATTTGAACTAGTAATAAGGCACATCCCTAAATCAGTTACAAAAACAAAAAATCTGTTTTTATCTGTGTGGGGTTTGGAACCGTTCTTTCTATTTATTGGTATATAAATACAACTGGTACATATTTAAATGTGAGTGTTGAAATAGGCTCATTTTCTGTTTTCCTGTCTCCCACTGGGAAAAATAATCTCCTTTTGTCTTTCCTAACTCTGGAGCAGTTTTTGTTTTTAAAACAAAGCAACAACTTGCTTTTTCATTCCAGGACATCTGCATGTTAAAGGGAGTAAAAAAATGTCAAAATCACTGAAAAACTACATTACAGTTAAGGTACTGTAAAGTTACGTTATCTGGCTATTTTTTAATAGAGTTCTTCTGGGCAAAACTATTCCTTCATCCTGCAAGGGTTTGGACTATGCAAAACGTGGATGGGAACTGGACAGTGAGGTTAATGTGAAGAGAGTTTGGCCATGGCACTGAGTTTTCGGTTGGATCCAACTCTGCCACTGGGATGCTTTGCCAAACAAATTTGGTGGGCACGTAGACAAATGTGTATAGAGGCAACTAGAGTAATGGGAGC